CGGTCTTATATATACAAGACTACACTATATCTGGAAAGATCACGAGATTTAAGGAAAAGACGTGAAAGTTCGAGAATGACGTGGCGTGATACTAGTCACGTGACCTCGATGTCGTAACAATATGTATTTCATAGTTTAAACATTAGTATTTTCATCATGATATATGAAATACTCAGTTGTAATGGAAACTGTGAATATTTGAATGTGCGTATTTTCCAGGACCGTGTTTTAAAAGGATGGTCAGGGTCTGGTTCTACATTTTAGAAACTACCATCAATCTGAGGTAAGATTATTTTACAACAGTCACACAGAGTTTCAGAAAATTTGTTTCTGTTTTGAGAGGATTAAGAGTTGTTGTGAAAGTGAAGTATTGTCTCCCAATGACACAGCATTAAGTCTGAAGGCTAAAAAGCGGATTTCGTTACCTGTGGCCTGGCATGGCCAGATGGTTAGGGCGCTCGACTCGCAATGTGTGGGTTGCAGGTTCGAATCCACTTTCCACCAAACATGCTCGCCCTTTCAGCCGTAGGGGCGTTATAGTGTGACGGTCAATCCCACTATTCGTTGGTAAAAAGAGTAGTCCAAGAGTTGGTGGTGGGTGGTGATGACTAACTGCCTTCCCTCTAGTCTTACACTGCTAAATTAGGGACGGCCAGCGCAGACAGCCCTCGTGTAGCTTTGCGCTTAACAACAAAAACGAACAAAAGTGCAGTATTTTCGTTTTAGAGTTTTAGTATAGTATTTTCTTAATTATATTTTTATCTTGTATTCTATATTTTAGTTTCATTTGTATTGCATTAATCAGCTTGTTGTATTTTAATTAAACCTGTCTGGAATTCCACATTGGGATACAATTTTCCTGAAAATTGCACAAAGTAATATTAGATAAGAAGTTAGGGGACGTGAGGATTAGTTCCCGGTAGGCTAGAGGTAAATTTACATACTTACAACGCTAAAATCCGGGGTTCGATTCCCGCAGTGGTCAGAGCACAAGTCGCTCATTGTGTAGTTTCGAGTTAAGCAACGAAAATAACGTGAAGATATAAAGATTAGAAAAATATTTCCAAAGAGATATTGAGTCAATTTATGTTATATTTCAAGAGTTATGAAGTAAAAATTGCAAATTAGTTTTTACTAGCTTTTCTGTAACTGGAAAGTTTTAAACCTAGAAGCGAGAATTTGTTGTTTATGTATAAATGCAAAGCTGTCTGCACTGTATCTACCCCGGGTATCAAACTCTGTTGTTTTTTTGTTGTTTTTTTTTTTTTGTTTTTTTGGCGTCATAAGCCGTCAAGCTTTCCGCTGAGCAATTTGGGGAGGGATGGGAGTGGAAACGAGAAAGATAATTATGATATTATATTCTGGTTACCAATTGTAACTGTTAACTAAATCGATAAGGTTGTTAGGTCATTTTCTTGTCCATAAAGAGTATCGAAGCTCTCAGGAAATCATTAATTTAAAAAGATAGAACATTGATTTAACATCTTAGTCTTCTACTTGCGACTTGAGAAACCACATGCTTTAAAAATGCAGTATAAAATGAAAATGTATCACGAAGTTGTTGCGTATAATGATATCAATATATTGGTCTTGAAGCCAAGAGTAAATTATGGAGAATTTAAAAACAGTTTCAACTTTCAGTGATAAGGCTAACACCCTAGCATAAAAATTTTAACCCACAAGATGCCCAGCTATAAAACAAACATTCCTTCAAAATTAATATCTAAAGAAGAATACATTAATTAATAATTAGACTAAAAAACGCACAAAACAACGAAATAATCAATACTACCAAAACTTGAGTGACCTAGTTTTAACAAATACAAACTCTATAATCTTTCCTAGGCAGTGACTGATTATTTAATCAACAATAAAAATGTTAATTAATTATATCTAAGAAAAGAAACTGCGAAAATTAGAGATAAGTAAATGATATTGATTAGTTAACAGTGGAATAAGAGAGCCAACAGTGGCTGAGTATGACGTGGCCTACAGTATTCGCTCTTGAGGTTGTGCCGTTCCCTTGCGCTTGCAGACTGATGGTAAGCAAGCGGCATGGCCTCAACAACATTGCAGAAACCAGCTTTCTGTGTAACTATAGGAGCATCGAAAGATAGGCTTTTCGCCATCTTTCTCTCCGAAGCATTTTTATTTTTAATTCTTTGGCATGGAGGGGTCTGTCTCTCTGTAACTACTCTTTTGGTCAAAACACGTGGAAGAATACAAGTTACAACGAGTGTGGAAATCGTAGTATCTGTTGGAACTGAAACTAAATTAAAATATAATGATCGATAGGAGCTAAACTTTTAAAGAGGTGGGTCAACGAATTTTGTCGAGAAGAAATAGTTAGTATGTTTAAAAATCAAGTATACATGTATATATATATTTAATAAGAAGCTTAGTTTCAGCCAAGGCCGATAATCTTGTGAGTGGTTCGCTCAGTCATGAAAAAAAAAAGACATTTTTTCTTATCTATTTCCACGAATCTCAGTACTATTATTATTAGTAGTACTCATTACGTCATTACCCGCTTCTTGTTTAATAAGGTATTACTACGAGTGAGCAGTGTTTTAACTTCTTTTGAAATAAGCGTACATAAGTTTTTTCTTATGTATGATTATGATTCCACATCTTTTAATGTTGGATTTTCGTCAGTTCATCAGTTTTTGAAACTCCTTGTAATATTAAAAGTAAGTTTTACTGATTCAATTAAACTTGGAAAACATGTTAGAGTATCGTATTTCACACTCAGCTTTATGCTGAGTTTAGACTTTAGCCAAATCTCTTAAATTGTAAGTTAACTTCTACGTTAGCAAACGTAAGACTAGTTTTAGTCTGAAACTTGAATTTGAAACACAAAACTCTTATGTTTTAAATTACATTAATTTTTAAAGCGTACATTTCAACATCAGATTTCAAAAGATTTTTACTCTGCTACTGTTAGATTACATGATCATGCATGATATTTTTAGTATTTTTTTAATTCAAGCTTTTATTTTCACATATAGGCCTACATATAGAATAGCACTATACAAGTTTAGAAATTGAGCATTGATGGTGGGCTAGCAATTGTTTTTCCCCAGTAATTTATTTTCAAAATCATACCCTATGTGGATGAAATTTTAATCTTGGCTGATGCTTTTGTGTTAATGAGTATTAATCCATGGAGTGCTAGCATGTAATCAAACCCAATGTACCAGGAAAATACTAATAGCTCTAAACAGTCACATCCCAAATTATTTGACTTCATCATCTAATAAACATAAAGGAAAGTTATATATTTTTAACTTTGTTTTAAAAACCTTGCTTATAAAGTACTAAATTGCATATGTGAATATTACACTTACAGATAAGTAGTAATGATGCACACAATCTTATGTATTTTGTTTATTCTAGGTTATTCTACTTAGTCATGAAAACTCTACAAACAAAGACAGGTTTCTGGATCTTATGTATGCCCATTATTGTTTATAGCCAAGGTAAGAACAACCAATTGTTTCCATAACAAACTCACTGAGACAGTGTAAAAAAGTTACATGCCAGTGAGAAATGGAAAATAAACATTTCTTAAGTATTCTTGATAAATCACTGATCAAAATGGCTATGATACTGTATTTGTACCATACAGTAAGTGATTCTGTAATCTTTCTCACCTTCACCTCATAATTTCCTTTGTCCTGATTCTTATATATAATTTAGAGTATTTTGTGTATAATTAGTCGTAGCATACATCAATTTGATTGTCATCGGTCATGCAAGTTTAATTCTTGATTTTACATTTTGGTTTGGAACTTGTATTGAAATATATTAACACATGATATTGTCATTTGAAAGTTGGTCTCTCTCTCTCTCTCTCTCTATACATGTAGAAAGTAGAGTGAGAAAAGAAGGACATGTTATGTACTGTTTGTGTTTTGGGGTTAGGTAGAATGTATACTTGTATCCTATGCATTTTGTCTAAGGTGTTCCTCTTCTTTTCGATTTTTTTTTCTTTGCACTCTATCCTTTCTGTTTCTTTTTCCCCCAAAAAATCAGTAACATAAGTTACTGTTCAATGTCCTTACTGTACTATGCAAAGATACATTTCTCATATGGCAATCACACCATTAATTGTAAAAGTAAGTTCTGTCATCTTCATTGTGTTTGACTCTACATTTAATACCATACCACTATATATAGGAAATAGAGCTGTAGTTAGTGTATGGTAACTCACTCTGTTCTTTTAACAAGTAACCAATGAAAGGATGTTGCAGTATTGACCAGATAATATGAATCTGTTTGTGAGCTATGAATACATTCACTTGAAGGCTATGTTTGGTGCTTAGATGAGACCAAAGACCTATAAATTGTATGGGATGTCTAGGTCACGTTCATCACAATACTATGTTTCTATTTTTCGAAATCCTAATATTTTTCTCTCAATGTATTTACAGTTTCAGAGGATTTAAAACCAAGTCAATGTGTTACAAAGAAGTCATGTGGTGAGTGTGTAACCATTCATCCTGAATGTGGCTGGTGCTCTGCAAAGGTAAACTTATTTGTCATAAAACTTTGCTGCATATAGTTAGTTTTAAAACATGAAAAGAATCATCAGTTATTTTTTGTAGGGTGGTATTAATTTATATTTCACTCTACATTATATATATATATATATATATATATATATA